GTTCCCATCTGTGCTTCACAGACCAGAAATCAGAGACATAAAAAAAAAAAAAAAAAAAAAAAAAAGAGAGACATCCATCTCCAGGTCACTTAAGGCTGCTGGACACAGAATCATGGCTTCCAGCTGGCAAAGTATGTGGGTCTTTCTTAACTAACTGGTTCTAAGGAAATCTCACAGATTGAGCTTTCTCGTGTACTTCCCAGTGTTTAGCTCTGTTTAATTTCACCAGGTGTCCAGAAAGTAACTCTTGCACCCACCGCCCACTGAGCCGCAGGGTGATGTGACATTCAATACAGAAAGTACTCAGCAAGTAATGAACAGTCCGACCAAACACCAAGTTCAGACTCACTATACAGGTAGATGTCCAGAACCACGAAAGATAGCTAAACACAAGACTGACACAAAGACCTATAATTACTGGCGGCACACACTCAACTACGCTTCCAAAATAGAGGATCTAACAAATGTCCAGGGACAAAACACCCTGGCCACACGGGAAGATGTCCTGACACCAGCCCGAGACAAAAACCATCCCCACGAACATAGCCAAGAACTCATGCTCGGCTACACGTGGCCAAACCCACTGATCCCAACCCGACCTACAGAGCCCACCCTGATGCTCACTGTGGGTGACGGTCACGCTGAGCATGGCTGTTTCCGTTTCCTCCGTCTCGACCAACTCCTCAGTCTCGGCCATGTCCTCGGTCTGGGTCACCTCTTCGGCCACGGTCACGTCCTCGGTCTGGGTCGCCTCCTCGATCTTGGTCACCTCCTCCTCCACCTGGGTCTCCTCCTTGGTCCCGGTCACTTTCTTGCTGCGGGTCACTCTCTTTCCCCGGGTCAATTCCCTGCTGGGAGCCACCTTCTCGCTCTGAGTGAAGCGGGGACGGACTTTGTTTTTCACCCGCGGCCTGCCAGGGCAGGCGGCGGCGCCCCTGGTGGATCGGTCATGCCCGCTGGCTGCGCTGCGGCCAGATGAACGCTGAGAGGCAGGCAAGCCGCGCTCGGCCCGGGGCTCCGACTGGCGCAGCTCCCGACCGGGCCGAGAGGCGCGCAGCCGGGGTCCCAGCGGCTCCCGGTCCTCTCGCGGTCGCCGAAGGCCGCTGCGATCCGCCAGGCCCGCGTTTGTTCACCGCCCAGCGGTGGCTGCCCGGCGCGCAGTCTTGCAGCCCCACCCTACTACTCACCGGCTCCGCCCCATCTGCTCACCACGCCCTCGGAACTGACCCCGCTCCAGGCCCCGCCCTATCCGCCCAGCCGCGTCTAGGCCCCACCCACTCCACGGAGGCCCCGCCCCACCCCTCCCCGCCCCAAGCCCCGCCTCCAGAAGTCTTTCCGCCTCTCCCAGAGCTCTGCGCTCCTTCTCCAGAAGGAGGAGCTGAAAACCCGGAAAAAGGATCCGGGAAACGCCAGCGAACATTCTGCGCTTGCGCATGGGGGGGCCGGAAACTGAAACCGGAGCGACTACGCTTCCGTTTCTGGTTTTTCTTCCAGTGTTTGGGTCTCTTCGCCGCCGGCCAAGATGAACCGATTCTTTGGAAAAGCGAAACCCAAGGCTCCGCCGCCAAACCTGACTGACTGCATTGGGACGGTGGGCATTTGACTTTGTATACCTAGACTCAACTCCGATCGACCCATCCCGAATTCCTACTCCACCCCATTCCTGGTTCGGGCCCATTAAACCTCAGTCTTACCCATCCCCACCCCTTTCATCCCTGTTTTCCAGGTCATTCCTGACTCCACAAACCAGAGACACTCTAACTTCATTACTACCTCACCCTCGCTACACTTAAAACCCTTTCTGATGCCCCCTACGCCCCATCCCTCCTTTCTCCTTTGGTCCTCACATTCCAACCTGCCCTGTCTTGGTCTAATCTGGTCTTTTACCAATCCTCTTTTCATTCCTCTTCCCTCGCCTACGTCAAGGTTAACGTATCAGTACCCTTAGTCCTGGATCTGTGTAACACAAAATTCTGAACCTTGGCCCCTCCAAATTAAACCTGATTTCGGAAATGGAATTAGATATCTCTCATCTTAGCCTGTGTCCACTGGCTCATTCCATACACTTTCATGTTGAGTCCCCAGACTGACTTGGGAAATTTCAACCAACCCAGTGATCCCCAAATTGTTTTTCTCGAGGGAGAGCTGCTATATCAGAATCTGCGAGATGGGAGAGAGTTTATGAAAGTCTTCCAGTGATTCTGACTGTATTCCCCACCCTTAAGTAAACCACTGTTTTCCGCTCTTTGTTATATCCTTTGTTTTGGTTTCGTTTCTTTGTCTATATTCCTTGTTCTCCTTCTTGCCCCTTCCCATGTAAACACTACAATAATTAGCAATGCATTTGACATTTTCCTCCAAGGTGGATAGCAGGGCAGAATCCATTGACAAAAAGATTTCCCGGTTGGATGCTGAGCTAGTGAAATACAAGGATCAAATCAAGAAGATGAGAGAGGGACCTGCCAAGGTAAGGTTGATGTCAGCAGTCGTAGGAAGTACCATGTAGGGAGTGGTGGGAGGAACAGAAAAAATACACACAATCTGGTAAGGATAAAATAGGAGTGAGGATGTATTCTTCAGGGAGAGAGGACAGCCAGATACAAGGGGGAGCCTGGGTTTTAATAGGATAGATAGAAGGTGCTGATCGCATGTCCTGAAGCACATCATGAGAATTGGCATGCTCTGCTGAAAAGGTCTCACTCTGGAGAGGAGGGCTTGGCTGTGCTCAGAATCTGGATGTTGTCAGGCTGGTCAGTCTGGGATAGATAGAATACAATGGCAGACTGGGGAAAAGTCCAGACTTAGCATGGGAGACCAGTGTTCTAATGCTGTCACTACTTAGTAGACTATGGATGCATAGCTATCTTGTTTTTCTCCCAACTCCGTAATTTATTAACTGTGAACCAGTGCATCACTCAGCCTCAGTTTTCTCGTGTTAAATGAAAATAACACGTGCATCGTAGTGTGGGGATTAAATAACAAGTCACCTTCGTGGCACTATGTCTAGAATAGAGTAGTGTTTGATAAATCTGCATCAAGAGTGAACAGAGGAAACAGAGGTTCGTGTAGAGGCGCTCAGCTTCTAAAAGGGAGAGGTTGGTGAAGTTGTAAATTGTTGCTAACTTGAGGGTGTGGTAGAGGCTGGACGTGTTGTGTTTAAGTCGAAGGCAGCTGGATATACACAGTGGGCACTGTTGGGGCTGGCGGTGGCAATGAGACGCATCAGGATACTGAGATGTGGGGTGCAAAGGGTGCTAAGGCTCACCAACTAGACTTTAAGTTATCCGTGCCTGGAGGGAAAGACTAGACCCAGGGTACCTCTGTGTCTACCATTTTGAAGAAGAAAGCAAGTCGGTGTACGAGTTGGAGCATATGGGAGACTTCTTTTGCCATATGTGTTCCCCTTTTTTATTAAGTCTGTTTTTCTCCTCAGAACATGGTCAAACAGAAAGCCCTGAGGGTTTTAAAGCAAAAGCGGATGTAAGTCATGCACCATCTCCTTTCCAAGAACAGTTTAAGCCCAAAGCAAAAAGGTCTTCAGTCTTTCCAGCTTCCAGATCATTTTCTAAGTATTCTTGGTTTCATTGCAAATTTCCATAAACTTCCATTAGTTAATGTTACTAACTTAAGTTTAGGTAGCTGTGGGGTACTAGTGACTATGATTGTGGCTGGCCAGATCTATATGGCTTGGTTTTCCTATTGTTTGTATAGTTTTTTGGTAAAGTTAGGGGTGCTAAGTATTTGTTCTCTCACCAGAATAAATGTAAAGGTCCACAATTTGTTTTCAATTACTATGTCCCAGTGTTTGTGCAAAAGCCAGTTAATATCTGGTGCTCACCCCTGTGAACTGCTCAGCCTGTGAGGTCATCCATGGAATTGTAGAAGCTAGGCATAATCAGCTTATAGGAAACCCCCAAAATTGCTGACAGCTTTGCTCCAATTTTAAAGTGACTTTGTAACACATCAGATGCTCTCTTTCCTTTTTTATATATATATATATTAAATCACATTGGGAAAAAAACTAATAATGCCTACAATGGCCAAGATGTGTTGCAACTATTAGCCTTCTTAGTGGCAATTGATTTTAAAGTATTATGTTTTTCTTACAGAAGAAATACAATTTGGCTTTGATGGCCTAGGCCTGTAATCCTAGCACTTGGAAGGTCAGGGAAGAAGGACCAGGAACCTATGAGCCTTGGTTACATAGAGGAATCAAGGCTAGCCTTGGCTACAGGCGACCCTGTCTCAAATTAAGTAAATAAATCAACACGCCTGTGAACCTAGTAGCACTTGGTGTGTGGAGGCAAGAATAACAGGTTCAAAGCTACTTTCAGCAAGTACATTCTAGACCATCCTGGACTATGAGTCCCTGCTTCAAAAAATATAAATGATTGTTTTAAAAGAGGAATATAGATTTATTACAGAAACTTGGAAAATATGTGAAGCAAGCCGAAGTAAAGAAAATTTATCTAGATTCTTAGGAACCTGAAATTATAACGTATCTTCTATCTAAGCTATTCTTTACTACTTAAAACTGTACTTCCCCCCCCCCCCCCGTTTCTTTCTGTTTTTAGAGACAGGGTCTTGCCATGTACCAAGACTGGCCTCTAGCTCAGTCCCCAGCTCAGTCCCCTGACTCAGCCTCCCAGTACTGGAATTATAACCATGTGCCACCGTGCCTAACTTAATGGGATCATCTGCCATTTGTCTGGATCATGAATTACCTGTTTTCCTTCTGCTAGTTAAATCGTTTCCAAATGTTGTGTAAAGATCGTGGTGACATAAGTATTATAATTTGATGACATAATATTATAATTTGATAGAAAACTTTAAAGAGTATCGGACATTTTGCATATCAGTATTTCTAGTATCAAACATCTGGTTTAAATAATAGCCTAATTATGAATACAGGGCAATTAAAGTGTTCTTTGAGTACACTTTGAGTCTACCTGAAAAACATTTAGCTATTTATATGAAGAACCTTAAAAAATAGTCTTATCCTTTGCTCCAAGAGTTCCACTTCTTAGAATTCATCTTGGGAAATAATTAGAAAAATATAAATAAAATGTAATAAGATACAGAGCAGGCCAGGAGCAGTGACGCACACCTGGATTACCAGCATTCGGGGAGCTGAAGCAGGAGGGCCACTACAAGTTTGAGGCTGGCCTGGCCTATAAGACCCTAGAAAGAAGAAGCAAATACTATGTTGTTAAGAAGCAATAGTTAAAACTCAAATACATGCAAGGGAAAAAGATTTGAAGGGATTTTCTAAGAGTGGGTAGTTTTTAAATGATTTTGGTTTTGGTTGGTTGGTCGGTTGGTTGGTTGGTTGGTTTGAAAAAAAATTCTCTTATTTGGTGTTAAGACTACTTTGTTCTAAGGATTTCTGTCTGTCTCACATCTCTGACTCTCACTTGGCTCCAAAAAGGTACGAGCAGCAGCGAGACAACCTCGCCCAGCAGTCCTTTAACATGGAGCAGGCTAATTACACCATCCAGTCACTGAAGGACACCAAGACCACGGTATGCCCAAAGCACATTTTCCCACTTTAATTTTTTTGTTTGTTTGGTTTGTTTTTCGAAACAGGGTTTCTGCCCTGGAACTCACTCTGTAGTCCAGGCTGGTCCCAAACTCAGAGATCCCCCTGCCTCTGCCTCCTGAGTGTGCGCCATCACCACCTCTCAGCTCTACTTGTTTTAAAATCTCATATGCATTCCCATGGCTTTTAAAAGATGGTTTAGCAGACATGACTTTGTGTTTGCATGTTTTGCCTGCATGTTTATTTGAGTACCTTGTGTCACAAGAGAGCATCAGATCCCCTGCATCTGGAGTTACAGATGGTTGTGAGCATATGGATGCTGGACTCAAACCCAGGTCCTCCACAAGAGCAACAAATGCTCGTCACCCCTGAGCATCTCTCCAGCACAAACATGACTTCTCAAGACAGTGTATTTTCGGGGCTGGGAATGTAACACAGTGATAGAATGGTTACCTAGCATGTGTGAGGATCTGGGTTCAAATCCTCAGTACTTCAGAATAAAACCACTCTGTTGTGCTTTCTTGTACCCTTTTTTAGGTTGATGCCATGAAAGTGGGAGTAAAGGAAATGAAGAGGGCTTACAAGCAAGTGAAAATCGACCAGATTGAGGTGAGCTGCCTGTCTGCTGGTTTTTACTGCAAGGTTGAGAATAAATGTGTGTGATGAGAAAGG